AGAATGAGAGCCTTGGCCCTTCTCCACACACAACAACCCTGCCAGGGAGGCCAGGCCCAGAATTGAGAGCCTTGGCCCTTCTCCACCCACACAACAACCCTGCCAGGGAGGCCAGGCCCAGAATTGAGAGCCTTGGCCCTTCTCCACCCACACAACAACCCTGCCAGGGAGGCCAGGCCCAGAATGGAGAGCCTTGGCCCTTCTCCACCCACACAACAACCCTGCCAGGGAGGCCAGGCCCAGAATGGAGAGCCTTGGCCCTTCTCCACCCACACAACAACCCTGCCAGGGAGGCCAGGCCCAGAATGAGAGCCTTGGCCCTTCTCCACCCACACAACAACCCTGCCAGGGAGGCCAGGCCCAGAATTGAGAGCCTTGGCCCTTCTCCACCCACACAACAACCCTGCCAGGGAGGCCAGGCCCAGAATTGAGAGCCTTGGCCCTTCTCCACCCACACAACAACCCTGCCAGGGAGGCCAGGCCCAGAATGAAGAGCCTTGGCCCTTCTCCACCCACACAACAACCCTGCCAGGTAGGCCAGGCCCAGAATGAAGAGCCTTGGCCCTTCTCCACCCACACAACAACCCTGCCAGGTAGGCCAGGCCCAGAATGGAGAGCCTTCGCCTTCTCCACCCATAGAACGACCTTGCCAGGTAGGCCAGGCCCAGAAACAAGTCCTTCCCCACCCAGGCAACGACCCTGTCAGACAGGCAGGAACAGAACTGAAACCCTTGTCCTTCTCCACACACACAACCCTGACAAGCAGGCCGGGCATAAAAGTGAGAGCCGTGGATCTGTAATTGGCTAAATGGACGAACCCAGAGGGTGATTCTCCCCAATGCTTCCTCTTCATCTTGGAAAGAAGTGACGAGCGGAGTGCCACAAGCAGGGTTCTGTCCTGGGCCCGGTCCTGTTCAACATCTTTATTAATGACTTAGATGTCAGGAGAGAATGCCTCTAGAACATGGCCCTATAGCCCAAAAAAAACCCACAAGAACCTAGTGATTCCAGCCATGAAAGCCTTCGACAATAAATCGGGTGGCTGCTCGCTCGGGCGAGAGGGCTTTAGTTACTATAGCATTCGAACCTAGGATTCTGTATCATAACTATGGGAAGTCTATGAAGTCTGAAAATCATGAAGTGGGACTTGTAAGCTTTTAATCGGTATTACTTTTTAAATTGTTTTAATTGTTTCATAATTTTATATGGTATGTTCATTGCTATGTGCACGATGCAGCATTGTGTTTTTGCTGTAGTTTGTAAGCCGCCCTGAGTCCCCTTCCGGGTGAGAAGAGCGGGGTATAAATATAGTAAATCTATATAAATAAAAATGTAATGTTAGTTCGTGCTCCCATCAGAACTCAAAAACCACTGGGGGAATTGACACCAAATTTGGACACAAGACACCTAATAGTCCAATTTATGTCCTCCACTCAAAAAACTTGATTTTGTCATTTGGGAATTGTCGTTGCTGGGATTTATAGTTTGTTGTTCATTCGTTCAGTCGTCTCAGACTCTTCGTGACCTCATGGACCAGCCCACGCCAGAGCTCCCTGTCGGCCGTTACCACCCCCAGCTCCCTCAAGGTCAGTCCAGTCACTTCAAGGATGCTATCCATCCATCTTGCCCTTGGTCGGCCCCTCTTCCCTTTGCCTTCCACTTTCCCCAGCATAATTGTCTTCTCTAGGCTTTCCTGTCTCCTTTTAAACAGGGGCTAGATGGCCATCTGTCAGGGGTGCTTTGAATGCAATATTCCTGCTTCTTGGCAGAAGGCGGTTGGACTGGATGGCCCATGAGGTCTCTTCCAACTCTAGGATTCTATGATTCTATGAATGGCCATGTGTTGGGGGTGCTTTGATTGTGCCTTCCCTGCATGGCACAATAAATGGGGCTGGACTGGCTGGCCCCTGGTGTTTCTCCTATTAGTATTAATATTGGTGTTGTTCCTTGGAAACCACCCTGAGTTTTCTTATTATATGATTATATTATTGCGAAGGTTGAATGGCCATCTGTTGGGAGTGCTTTGACTGTGCTTTCCCTGTATGGCAGAATAAAGGGAGTGGACTGGATGGCCCTTGGGCTTTTTCGTATTAGTAAGACTATTATTGCAAAGGCTGAATGGGCATCTGTTGGGGGTACTTTGACTGTGCTTCCCCTGCAAGGCGGAATAAAGGGGGCTGGGCTGGGTGGCCCCTGGGCTTATTCCTATTAGTATGACTATTATTGCAAAGATTGAATGGCCATCTGTCGGGGGTGCTTTGATTGTGCCTTCTCTGCAGGGCAGAATAAAGGGGGCTGGGCTGGGTGGCCCCTGGGCTTGCTCCTATTAGTATGACGATTATTGCAAAGGCTGAATGGCCATCTGTCAGGGGTGCTTTGATGGTGCCTTCCCTGCATGGCAGAATACAGAGGGGTGGGCTGGGTGGCCCCTGGGCTTGCTCCTATTAGTATGACTATGATTGCAAAGGCTGAATGGCCATCTGTCAGGGGTGCTTTGATGGTGCCTTCCCTGCATGGCAGAATACAGGGGGGTGGGCTGGGTGGCCCTTGGGCTTGCTCCTATTAGTATGACTATGATTGCAAATATTAATGCCATTTGCCAGCAAATATGGAAAACACAAGAATGGCCATCAGACTGGAAAAAATCAACTTATATCCCCATACCAAAAAAGGGAAATGCGAAAGACTGCACCAACTTCCGTACAGTGGCCCTTATTTCTCATGCCAGTAAGGTAATGCTCAAGATCCTGCAAGGAAGACTCCAGCAATACATGGAGCGAGAGTTGCCAGATGTTCAAGCTGGGTTTAGAAAAGGCAGAGGAACCAGAGACCAGATTGCCAATCTCCGGATGCTGGAGAATGGAGAAAGGCAGGGAGTTTCAGAAAAACATCTACTTCTGCTTCATTGACTATTCTAAAGCCTTTGACTGTGTGGATCATCATAAATTGTGGCAAGTTCTTGGTGGGATGGGCATCCCAAGCCCCCTTCCCTCTCTCCTGAGGAATCTGTACAAGGACCAAGTAGCAACAGTCAGAACTGACCACGGAACAGGAGACGGGTTCAAGATTGGGAAAGGCGTACGGCAAGGCTGCATCCTCTCACCCAACCTTTTTAACTTGTATGCAGAACACATCATGCGAGGATGTGCGGGGCTTGATGAATGCAAAGCTGGGGTGAAAATTGCTGGAAGAAACATTAACAACCTCAGATATGCAGATGACACCACCCTGATGGCCGAAAGCGAGGAGGAACTGAGGAGCCTTCTAATCAAGTTGAAAGAAGAAAGCGCAAAAGCCGGGTTGCAGCTAAACGTCAAAAAAACCAAGATTATGGCAACAAGAATGATTGACAACTGGAAAATAGAGGGAGAAACCGTGGAGGCTGTGACAGACTCTGTATTTCTAGGTGCAAAGATTACTGCAGATGCAGACTGTGGCCAGGAAATCAGAAGACGCTTCCTTCTTGGGAGGAGAGCAAGGTCCAGTCTCGATAAAATAGTGAAGAGCAGAGACATCAGACTGGGAACCAAGATCCGCCTAGTCAAGGCCATGGTATTCCCTGTAGTAACCTCCGGATTTGAGAGCTGGACCTTAGGGAAGGCTGAGCGAAGGAAGATCGATGCTTTTGAGCTGTGGTGTTGGAGGAAAGTGCTGAGAGTGCCTTGGACTGCGAGAAGATCCAACCAGTCCATCCTCCAGGAAATAAAGCCCGACTGCTCACTGGAGGGAAAGATACTAGAGACAAAGTTGAAGTACTTTGGCCACATCATGAGGAGACAGGAAAGCCTAGAGAAGACAATTATGCTGGGGAAAGTGAAAGGCAAAAGGAAGAGGGGCCGACCAAGGGCAAGATGGATGGATGGCATCCTTGAAGTGACTGGACTGACCTTGAGGGAGCTGGGGGTGGTAACGGCCGACAGGGAGCTCTGGCGTGGGCTTGTCCATGAGGTCACGAAGAGTCGGAGATGACTTAACGAATGAACAACAACATGATTGCAAAGGGTGAATGACCATCTGTCGGGGGTGCTTTGATTGTGCCTTCCCTGTATGGCAGAATAAAGGCAGCTGGACTGGATGGCCCCTGGGCTTGCTCCTATTAGTATGACTATTAGTGCAAAGGTTGAATGACCATCTGACGGGGGTGCTTTGATTGTGCCTTCCCTACATGACAGAATAAAGGCAGCTGGACTGGATGGCCCCTGGGCTTGCTCCTATTAGTATTCCTATTACTGCAAAGGCTGAATGGCCATCTGCCGGGGGTGCTTTGATTGTGCCTTCCCTACATGACAGAATAAAGGCAGCCTGACTGGATGGCCCCTGGACTTGTTCCTATTAGTATTCCTATTACTGCAAAGGCTGAATGGCCATCTGTCGGGGGTGCTTTGACGGTGCCTTCCCTGCATGGCAGAATAAAGGGGGCTGGACTGGGTGGCCCCTGGACTTGTTCCTATTAGTATTACTATTATTACAATGGCAGAATGGGCATCTCTCAGGGGTGCTTTGATGGTGCTTTGCCTGCATGGCAGAATAAAGGGGGCTGGGCTGGTTCCTATTAGTATTCCTATTACTGCAAAGGCTGAATGTCCATCTGCCGGGGGTGCTTTGACTGTGCCTTCCCTGCATGGCAGAATACAGGGGGCTGGGCTGGGTGTCCCTTGGGGGTCCTTCCACTGAAAGACTGTTCAGTTTTCCCTGTTCAAAGAGTTTGGCCATGCCTGATAGAGAGATAGATCTATCAAGGCATCCATTCTGTGCCATATGCCATACACACCTTCCTTGAGGCTTCATGAGGAGCACACTTGGCAGGGAGGGAGGGAGGGAGGGAGGCGGAGGCGCGGTGCCTGCTGGGAAGGGGAAGGAGGCGGCCTTGACTGTGTTGAAGGCCTATGTTTCCCTCCCTGGAGGAAGGCCGCACTCCCTCCCTCGCTCGTTCGCTCGCTCGCTCCTCACAGGAAGATGTCATAAGAACAATCCTAATAAGAAGAATAATAAGAGCTTACCTCTCCGTCCGTCCCTCTCCGTGGCGCCACAGGAAGCTCTTTCTCCACCGCCGCCTCTTCGCCTCACTCCAGGGAAAATGGCGGACTGAGAGAGAGAGAGAAGCTCCCTCAGGCTCGCCCGAGAAGAAGCCCGCCCACTCCTCCTCCTCCGCCCTCCCATTGGCTGAGACCGTGAAGCCCCGCCCTCCCAACGCCCTCATTGGTCGGCTGCCGGTGTGCAGCCTTGATTGACGGATTCAGGAAGCAGAGAGAGAGAGAGAGAGAGAGAGACTCCTTCAACCAGAGAAGTCAGCCATAGCAGAGCACCTGATGAACCAACCTGGACACAGCAGATTATTTGAGAACACAGAAATGCTGGACCACTCTCACAACCACCATGTCAGACTACACAGAGAAGCCATTGAAATCCACAAGCATGTGGACAATTTCAACAGAAAGGAGGAAACCATGAAAATGAACAAATTACAAAATCTGGCTTCCAGTATTAAAAAACTCTAAAATTAGAACAGCACAACAACAGAGAGGAAACAATCAGGCACAGATTAACACCTCCCAGTAAGAGATTTTCCCAGGCTCAGGCAGGTCTTCAAATGCTAATGAAGGTGATCAGCTGAAACATTCACACCTAGCTCCAGCAGGGAAGAGCTCTTTGCCCCACCCCAGCCATTCCACAGATATATAAACCCATTGTCCTAATTCCAACAGACCTCACTACCTCTGAGGATGCCTGCCATAGATGCAGGCGAAACGTCAGGAGAGAATGCCTCTAGAACATGGCCCTATAGCCCGAAAAAAACCCACAAGAACCTAGTAAAAAGCCCACTGTCTGAATGCCCGATCACCATCTCCCAAAGAAGTTACAATACTCCCAAGTCAAGAACAGAACATGGAAGGGTGGTGGACAGGATTTTTTTTTTAAAGATGGTCTTAAAGCTAACCTTAAAAACTGTGGCATAGACACTGAGAACTGGGAAGCCCTGTCCCTTGAGCGCTCTAGCTAGAGGCCAGCTGTGACCAGCAGTGCTGCAGAATTTGAAGAGGCACAATTGAGGGAGAAAGAGGCCAAGGGGAAGGCGCATCAAGCCAACCCTGACTGGAAACCGATGCCCTCACTGTCACTCCTTTCCCCCTGCTACTAAGGAGGCTGTCGAGGTCCTGAACCAGTGCTTGGCCGCTGTGACGGTCTGGATGAGGGCGAACAAATTGAAACTGAATCCAGACAAGACAGAGGTACTCCTGGTCAGTTGCAAGGCCGAACAGGGCATAGGGTTACAGCCTGTGTTGTATGGGGTCGCACTCCCCCCGAAGACGCAGGTTCGCAGCTTGGGAGTGACCCTGGATTCATCGCTGAGCCTGGAACCCCAGGTTTCAGCGGTGACCAGGGGAGCATTTGCACAGCTAAAGCTTGTGCGCCAGCTGCGCCCATACCTTGGGAAGTCTGACTTGGCCACGGTAGTCCGTGCTCTGGTTACATCCCGATTAGACTACTGCAACGCTCTCTACATGGGGTTGCCTTTGAAGACAGCTCGGAAGCTCCAGCTGCAATTAGTCCAATGCTCGGCAGCCATGATACTAACAGGAGCGGGACGCAGGGAGCATACAACCCCCTTGTTGTACCAGCTCCACTGGCTGCCGATTTGCTACCGGGCTCAATTCAAGGTGCTGGCGTTGGCCTATAAAGCCCTAAACGGTTCCGGCCCAAGATACCTATCCGATCGCATCTCGACCTACGAGCCCACCAGGACTTTGAGATCTTCCGGGGAGGCCCTGCTCTCGATCCCGCCTGCTTCACAAGCATGGCTGGCGGGGACGAGAGATAGGGCCTTCTCGGTGGTGGCTCCTCGGCTGTGGAACACTCTTCCCGCGGACATTAGACTGGCCCCTTCCCTGATGATATTCCACAGGAAATTAAAGACTTGGTTGTTCAAGAAGGCGTTCGAACAAGAAGTGCAATGATTGGTAATGACTATAGGAATGGAAAACGGAAATGATACTGGATTGTGGCCTGGACGATGAGACGACACTGAATGGTTTTCGTAGTAATGACGATGTTTTTGTATAATGCTGGACTGTGAATTGTTTTTATACTGTGTCTTGAATTTTGTGGTTCCTATGTTGTACACCGCTGTGAGTCGCCCCTGGGCTGAGAACAGCGGTATATAAGCAAAGTAAATAAATAAAGAAAGAAAGAACATGCAGGTCAAGGAGAGGGCTTCACTGTCACCTCCATATACTCCATCAGGACACTACGCTTGGAAGGCCCTCATACTCCGAGAACGAGGGATCACTTAAGTGAAACTCTATTTTTTCTATTCTTGATGGCAGTCAACTATATATATAATTTATTTAGTTAAGATATGGCAATAGATTAGTAATATACATGTACATATTTATAATTATCCTTCATGCATGATCTATACATAATAAATCTTATATGTTTACATAGTATCAATCTTCTTGAAGTTATAATTTTTCTACTTTATTTCAGAAATATTAAGTCATTAATTTTCCAAAACTTTTTTTTGCTCTCAGATATACAAGTTATATCGTTTATACAAATGTATTATCTCATAACACTTTTAGTTCACAAATTCGATTGCAGTTTTTGTGTATTATCTTCTTGTAGAATTAACGTTAATTTGTCACTTCAGCCATTTAAAAGAAATTGTAATCCATTCCTCTGGTGTTGGTGTTCTTTGTGTGCCAGCTGCGCCCATACCTTGGGAAGTCTGACTTGGCCACAGTGGTCCACACTTTGGTTACATCCTGTTTAGATTACTGCAACGCTCTCTATGTGGGGTTGCCTCTGAAGACTGCCCGGAAGCTTCAATTAGTCCAATGTGCGGCAGCCAGACTACTAACGGGAGCGGGGTACAGGGAGCATACTATTCCTCTGTTGCGCCATCTCCACTGGCTGCCAGTCAGCTTCCGAGCATAATTCAAAGTGCTGGTCTTAACCTATAAAGCCCTAAACGACTCCAGCCCAATTTACCTGTCCGAACGTATCCTCCCCTATGAACCATCAAGATTGCTAAGATCGTCTGGAGGGGCCCTGCTCTCAGTCCCGCCAGCCTCACAAGCGCATCTGGTGGGGACGAGGGACAGGGCCTTCTCGGTGGTGGCCCCTCGACTCTGGAACTTCCTTCCACTGGAGATCAGATCTGCCCCTTCTATCTTGACGTTCAGAAAACAGGTGAAAACTTGGCTCTGGAAATTGGCATTCGACGAATGAGCCACGATCCTGTGATATGGGTGGATGATGACGAACAATGATTTTTTTGATGACGACTGACCATTGTAATTGTAATTATATGACTGTATTTTGCTATTTTAATGTTTTAGTGTGATGTAGGATATGATGTTTTTAATGACTGTTTGTAATATTGTTGTTGGAAGCCGGCCCGAGTCCCTTGATGGAGGTGAGAAGACCGGTATACAAAACTGCCAAATAAATAAATAAATAAATACATTTGGTTTTTTTCCAGTTTTGCATATTCAATTCTGGCTGCTGTAGTCATGCGCAGGAAGATTCTTTCCTGGTATTTATATTTATCGTGTCAGGAGCAGACCAAACACTTGTATTGCATTTTTTAAAAACCTGGTGATTTGGGGTTTGCTTGTCTAAAATTCACAATAAAAAGGTTCTAGTGTCAGTATTATTTAGGACTTTTTGTTTTGTTTTCAATATTGGAGTGCAGTTTTATCTAGAAGGCTTTCGCCTTTGGGCAAGTTCACCACATCTGATAAAAGGTTCCAGTCATTTCTTTACATCTCCAGCATAAATTTAATTATTGAATTTATCTTCGAAGGTTTTCCTGGAGTTATGTAGCATCTGTGGATCATTTTGTAAAAAAATAGTAACTTCTTGTAAATTGGAGTCGAGTCTTCCAAAGTTCCTCCCATTCTTCTACACCAGTGGTTCTCAACCTTCCTAGTGCCGCGACCCCTAAATACAGTTCCTCATGTCGTGGTGACCCCCAACCATAAAATTATTTTTGTTGCTAATTCCTAATTGTCATTTTGCTACTGTCTCTTTTAAATGGTCTTTAACTTAGGACAATGTTTTAGTTAATGTTTACCTGACTTTATTATTGTTGTTGGCATCTAATGGTTGCCGGTTGTAAGCCTCCCTGAGTCTCGCCCCCCCCCCCCTTCCCGGATGAGAAGGACAGGATATAAATGCCCTAAATAAATAAATAAATAAATACTGCAAATAAATAAATACTGTAAATAAATAAGTAATGTAAGACCCCCACGAAACTTGGCACACAGACTGGCCATGACAAACAGAAAATACTGGAGGGGTTTGGGAGGAATTCACAGGTATTTAGGGAAATGTAGTTCACCTCCATCCAGAGAGCACTGTGAACCCAAACCACTATGGATCTGGACCAAACTTGGCACAAATACTCAATATGCCCAAATTTGAACACTGGTGGAGTTTGGGGGAAATAGACCTTGACACTTGAGAGTTGTAGTACTTGGATTGATAATTCACCTACAATCAGAGCATTCGGAATTCCACCAATGATGATATTGAACCAAATTTGGCACACAGAACTCCCATGACCACATAGAAAATACTGGAAGGGTTTGGTGGGCATTAACCTTGGGTTTTGGAGTTGTAGTTCACCTACATCCAGAAAGCACTGTGGACTCAAACAGTGATGGATCGGGACCAAACTTGGCAAGAATACTCAATATGCCCCAATGTGAACACTGGTGGAGCGTTGGGAAAATAGACCTTGACATTCGGGAGTTGTAGTGCTTGGATTTATAGTTCACCTACAATCAGAGCATTCTGAACTCCATCAATGATTAAATTGAACCAAACTTGGCACACAGAACTCCCATGACCAACAGAAAATACTGGAAGGGTTTTTTGTTTGTGTTTTTTTGCGCCTGCAGTCACTCCAGGAGACTATTATTATTATTATTACTAAACTCAGTTGGAAGGAAACCCCAAATGCAGCCCCCATCTTTCTGCAAGGCAGGAAGATAGAATTACTATTCTATTATTATACATCATCTTCTTTTTCATCATCATTATTATACATTACACAGGATACAAATAAGTGAAATAAATGAATTCATTAATTATGTGCATGTGTTTTGGAGTAGGAGTCTGGAGACTTGGATTCTAATAAATGGCAATGCAGTGCCACTGGATGACCTTGAGAAAGACACACTTTCTCAACCTCAAAGAAGGCAAAGGCAGGCTCCTTCTGAAGACATCTTGCCAAGAAAATCCACTGCTAGGTTCATCCTGGGGCCCTTCCAGATGGGCCTGATATCCCAGGATATGATCCCAGGTTATCTGCTTTGAACTGGATTATATGAGTCCACACTGCCAGATAATCTGGGACAAACAGAAAACCTGGGACCAGATCTTGGGATATAGGGCCTGTCTGGAAGGGACCCTAGACCCCTTCTACATTGACCTTCTATCCCAAGATCTGATCCCATGTTATCTGCTTTGAACTGGATTATATGAGTCTGCACTGCCAGATAATCTGGGACAAACAGAAAACCTGGGACCAGATCTTGGGATATAGGGCCTGTCTGGAAGGGACCCTAGACCCCTTCTACACTGACCTTCTATCCCAAGATCTGATCCCAGGTTATCTGCTTTGAACTGGATTATATGAGTCCACACTGCCAGATAATCTGGGATAAACAGAAAACCTGGGATCAGATCTTGGGATATAGGGCCTGTCTGGAAGGGCCCCTAGACCCCTTCTACACTGTCCTTATATCTGAAGATCTGATCCCAGGTTATCTGCTTTGAACTGGATTATATGAGTCCACATTGCCAGATAATCTGGGATAAACAGAAAACATGGGATCAGATCTTGGGATATAGGACTTGTTTGAAAGGGTCCCGAGGCTCCTTCATATTATTATCATTATCATTATTACTATTATTAGATTAAGGCAGTTGGAAGGGAACCCCAAAGGCCATCTAGTCCAGCCCCCTTCTTTCTGCCAGGCAGGAAGATAGAATTACTATTATATAATTATACATTGTTGTTGTTATTATTGTAAGACTCAGACAGTTGGAAGGGAACCCCAAAGGATATCCAGCCCAGCCCCCTTCTTTCTGCCAGACGGAGATAGAATTACTGCAGGAGCAACAACAATGATGGCAATGATACTAACAGTAAGTAAAGCTTATGATAGGCTCTCCCATCCTTTCTACTTCAAATAATACTACTCCTACTACTACTCCTACTACTAATAGTAGTCTCCTGGATTCACTGGATGGGTTTGGTGGGCATTGACCATGAGTTTTAGAGTTGTAGTTCACATATATCCAGAGAGAACTGTGGACTCAAACAACGAGGGATCTGGACCAAATTTGATATAAATAAATACCTGATGCCCAGAAATTGGAGAACTGGTGGGGTCAGGAGGCGCTTGGACGCAGAGGGAAGAGCACCTGCTGCTGCTGCTCTCTCCCTGTGGGTGAAGAGGAGGGTGAGGATGGAGGAAAGAATGGGAGGGAGGGGAAGGGAGGGAAAAAAGGAAGGAAGAGGCAGGGAGATCCTGCTGGGGGGAGCCTCCAGGGATAAGCTTTTCACCTGCTGAAGGGCCGAGAGGAGGAAGAAGAGGATGAATTGCTCTTTTTGACGGAGGCTCCAGATAAGCCAGTCAGCCATTGCGGGGAGGGGCCAAAGGAGTACGAGGCGACCCCTCAGAAATGGCCTAACGACCCCCATAGGGGTCGGGACCCCCAGGTTGAGAAACGCTGTTCTACACTTTTTTATTTCCTATATTCATACCCCTGCCCTTCACACTTATCTATTTGAGCCCAATATTTCTGGGCTTTTCTGCAAGATCACAAGAGATAAAATTCCCAATATTATGCTGTCATTTACATTTGGTAGAGTTGCCTTTGTACATCTTAGAGAGTCTCCCTTAGCATCCATTTACTAGAATGTGAGTTTCACGTGGCTGCAGATGACCCCTCAGAGTGAAACTCTTTCCACACTCAAGGCATCCCAGTGTGCGTTCTATTATGTTTTTGAAGATTTCCACTGTCAGTGAAGCTCTTTCCACACTCCAGGCATTGATAGGGTTTCTCCCCAGTGTGAGTTCGTTGGTGTCTACACAGAACTCCACTACGAGTAAAGCTCTTTCCACACTCCAGGCATTGATAGGGTTTCTCCCCAGTATGAGTTCGTTGGTGTCTACGTAGGTCTCCACTGCCATTGAAGTTCTTTCCACACTCCAGGCATTTATAGGGTTTCTCCCCAGTGTGCAGCCTTTCATGTTGCTGCAGAGAATGCTCCCAACTGAAACTCTTTCCACACTCCAGGCATTTATACGGTTTCTCCCCAGTGTGAGTTCCTTGGTGGTTATGTAGGTGTATACGCTGAGTGAAGCTCTTTCCACACTCCGGGCATTTATAGGGTTTCTCCCCAGTATGGGTTTGTTGGTGTTTATGTAGGTTTCCACTGCCAGTGAAGTTCTTTCCACACTCCAGGCATGTATAGGGTTTCTCCCCAGTGTGAGTTCGTTGGTGTCTATGTAGGTCGCCACTGCCAGTGAAGTTCTTTCCACACTCCAAGCATTTATAGGGTTTCTCCCCAGAGTGAGTTCTGTGGTGAGACTGTAGACTCCCATGCCGGGCAAAGCTCTTTCCACACTCCAGGCATTGATAGGGTTTCTCCCCAGTGTGAGTTTGTTGGTGTTTATGTAGATGTCCACTATCAGTGAAGCTCTTTCCACATTCCAGGCATGCATAGGGTTTCTCCCCAGTGTGAATCCTTTCATGTTGCTGCAGATAATGTCTCAAAGTGAAACTCTTTCTACACTCCAGGCATTCATAGGGTTTCTCCCCAGTGTGAGTTTGTTGATGTGAACGCAGATCTCCACTCCGAGTGAACCTCTTTCCACAGTCCAGGCATTTATAAGGTTTCTCCCCAGTGTGAGTTAGTTGGTGTCTATGTAGGTGTGAACTCTGAGTAAAGCTCTGGCCACATTCCAGGCATGCATAAGGTTTCTCCCCAGTGTGAGTGCGTTGATGCCTACGTAGGTGTGAACTCTGAGTGAAGCTCTGTCCACATTCCAGGCATGTATAGGGTTTCTCCCCAGTGTGAGTTAGTTGGTGTTTATGTAGACTTCCACTATCACTGAAGCTCTTTCCACACTCTAGACATTTATAGGGTTTCTCCCCAGTGTGAGTTCGTTTGTGTGTATGTAGGTGTGAACTCTGAGTGAAGCTCTGGCCACATTCCAGGCATGTATAGGGTTTCTCCTCAGTGTGAGTCCTTTGATGTGACTGCAGACTTTGATTGTGTTTGAAGCTCTTTCCACACTCCAGGCATTCATAGGGTTTCTCCTGCATGTTGACAGTGGTATGTATTTTTAACTGCAACATGGACACTTCTGTCTTCTTTTTCCCTTTCCGATCCAAAGTCAGTTCGACAAGATCAGCACCTCGAGAGGATGTCTTTTTCATACAGGACCCTTTTCCTCACAGCTTCTTTGGTTTCCAAATTCCACAATGTCCACCAGATGCTGCTTTGATTGTTATCACACCAAGACATAACGCCATAGAATCCTTATGTTCCTGGTCAAGAAAGAAACAGCAAAAGATTAGACATGAAGCCGAAAAACTCCTTTCCCTCCTTTCTCTTCATAAAAGTTTGCTACCATATTTCCTGGTTTTCCCAAATGAATTCTCCGCTCAGGCAATAATACCCCACCATCATCTCCCCAACGGGTACTCGGGGCAGCTTACACGAGGCCAAGCCCAATACCATTTTACAATAAAATAAAAACCAAAACACAGTAACAACACAGTAGGATACATACAACATATGAAAACAAAACACAATATACAACTCTGGGCACACTGTGGATGAGATTTACAGAGGAAACCGGACAGACAGATATTCCCAATGCTTGAAGCAAAACTTCTTTCGTCAGGATGATTTGGGATCAATCTAGTGTGTTGGGCAGGATCACTCTCTTTTGGATCTGATCCAGACCAACAGGGATGTCATGGTCAATGGGGTGGAAGGGTTGTTTCCCTAGGTGGGATCGACCATTTTCTTCTAGAGAGGCGTTTCTCAACCAGGGGGGTTGCAAGGGGGGTTTCAGAGGGGTCGCCAAAGACCATCACAAAACATGTATTTCTGATGGTCATAGGAACCCCTTCGGCAGAGAAGGCTGAAGATCTCTCCGCCTGGTCTTCTCTCCCTTTTCTGGAAACAAAGGGCGAATCCTCCCACCAAAAGCCCTCCTCTGCTGTGATTGGCTGGACTCTCAGCCCATGAGACTCCAGGTGGAGAGGGGAGAGCAGGCGTGCTCAGTGCATGGCGTGGTATGCATATGTGGGAGAGTGCGCAAGGCTGGAGGGAGGCCCGCGTACCTGCAAGGAAGGGGGAAATGCACCCACACAATGTGGCAGTGAGAGTGGCCCAGCAGCATCGGGAGGAGCTGGGCAGCAGAAGCAGCTTAGGTAATTTATAACATTATTTTATTTTTAAAAAGTTAGTCTATTCCCTTTTTATTAATGCTCCCATTGGTAAATGCATAAGGGTGTGGGTGAACTACAACTCCCAAAATCGTAGGTCAATCCTCCCCAAACTCCACCAATATTCAAAGTTGGCCACGTTGGGTCTGTGTGTTGGGTTTGGTCTAGATCCATTGTTGTTTTGCTCCACAGTGCTCTCTGGATGTAGGTGAACTACATCTCCCTCCTCTAAATCACTGTGGATTCCTCCCAAATCCCTCCAGTATTTTCTGTTGGTCATGGGGGTTCTGTGTGGGAAGTTTGGCCCAGTTCTATCGTTGGTGGGGTTCGAGGGGCTCTTTGATTGCAGGTGAACTATAAATCCCAGCAACTACAATTCCCTAATGTCAAGGTCTGTTTTCCCCAAACTCCATCAGTGTTCAAATGTGGGCATACCTGAATATTTCAACAATGGGAAAATACCTTTAATTGCATCCTAGACTTCAAGAAAGCTGACCAGTAAATTTGGGCAAAATCAGAGTATGATCCCATGGTCAGGAATACTAAAGTTGGGGACCCCTTCCCCAAGCACCGTGCCACTCTGGGCCAGAGTGAAGAGAGACAGGGCCAGGGGACAGTTCCATCTTGTCTCCTGCACATGTCATCAGTCGAGGACCCCTCCCCATAACACCAACTGCCGCTCTGGACCAGAGTGAAGAGGGGGGGGGCAGGGGACACTTCCATCTAGCCTCCTGCACATGTCATCAGCTGGGGACCCCTCTCCCCAGTACCAACTGCCGCTCTCGGCCAGAGTGAAGACAGAGGGGGACAGTTCCATTTTGTCTCTTGCATATGTCATCAGCTGGGGACCCTTCCCCCCAGGAACAATTGCCACTCTGGGTCAGAGTGAAGGGGGGAGGCAGGGGACAGCTCCATCTTGTCTCCTGTGCTATGCCAATAATATAATATAATGTAATATATTGTATATACATATAATATTATAATGTACTACAATGTAATACTAACATGATATCATTACTGTCTATATTTTACATGTAATATTCCTGGTAATATTACAATGCAATGGTACAGTAAAATATAGTAATATATAATACTGATAGAGTACTATGCTAATACTATAATATATTGTACGTATCAGAGTGAGGGCCATGTTTCCTCTAACTCATTTTTATCATGGTGGTAGCCAAACCTCTTTCGTTTTCTTTGTGCTTCATATACAGAGGACCAGGCATACCATCCTAAGGCTGGGTGTCTTCCTTACTATCTGTTGCACACCAAGGCTGTGATGGGCACCTTTGCACCCACAAACACACCAATGTTCTTTGTACTATGCTAAAAATATAATATATTGTATGTCTATCTATTGAGAAGACAGGAAAGCTTGGAGAAGACAATGATCCTGGAGAAAACTGAAGGAAAAGGGAGAGGGGCCGACCAAGGGCAAGAGGGGTGGATGGCATCCTTGAAGTGACTGGCTTAACCTTGAAGGAGCTGGGGGTGGTGATGGCCGACAGGGAGCTCTGGCGTGGGCTGGTTCTGAGGTCATGAAGAGTTGGAAACAACTGAACAAATGAACAACAACATGGCAGAATAAAGGGGGCTGGACTGGATGGCCCCTGGGGTTGCTCCTATTAGTATTAATATTGTTATTTGGAAACCACCAGGGTTTTCTTATTATATGATTATATGATTGCAAAGGCGGAATGGCCATCTGTTGGATGTGCTTTGTGCCTTCCCTGCATGGCAGAAAAAAGGGGGCTGGACTGGATGGCCCCTGGGGTTGCTCCTATTAGTATTAATTTTATTGCAAAGGCTGAATGGCCATCTGTTGGGGGTGCTTTGATTGTGCCTTCTCTGGATGGCAGAATACAGGGGGCTGGACTGGGGTGGCCCCTTGTGTTGCTCCTATTAGCATTACTATTAGTGCAAAGGCTGAATGGCCATCTGTTGGGGGTGTTTTGATTGTGCTTTCCCTACATGGACAGAATAAAGGCAGCTGGACTGGATGGCCCCTTGTGTTGCTCCTATTAGCATTACTATTAGTGTAAAGGCTGAATGGCCATCTGTTGGGGGTGTTTTGATGGTGCTTTCCTTGCAGGGCAGAATAAAGGGGGCTGGGCTGGGTGGCCCCTGGGAAGCTGGAATGTGTCCAGAGGAGGGCGACTAAAATGATCAAGGGTCTGGAGAACAAGCCCTATGAGGAGCGGCTTAAGGAGCTGGGCATGTTTAGCCTGAAGAAGAGAAGGCTGAGAGGAGATATGATAGCCATGTATAAATATGTGAGAGGAAGCCACAGGGAGGAGGGAGCAAGCTTGTTTTCTGCTTCCCTGGAGACTAGGACGCGGAACAATGGCTTCAAACTACAAGAGAGGAGATGCCACCTGAACATGAGGAAGAACTTCCTGACTGTGAGAGCCGTTCAGCAGTGGAACTCTCTGCCCCGGAGTGTGGTGGAGACTCCTTCTTTGGAAGGTGTGGTTTTAGGGTTCACCCCCCCCCCCGAAATGTTTCAGATTTTTTTTAAAAACCTGGTTTACTCATGAATTTTAACTGGTTAACCCAATCCCCATTCTGCTAAGTCTATGAGATGCAACAAACTAAGAGTCCCTCCAGAACTGCAAGCACTATCTCAGGCAAATATTGACAATTTATTCACACTCTCATTACTGGCAGCAATAGCCGATGTAGTGAAGCAACCAAGTTGGGGGTGTATGTGTTGAATGCTCTCATTAAGGAGGCCAGACTTGGTGGAGGTGGTTGACAGGGGCGGAGCTGCAGGCTATTGAAGGCTGCTCTGCCCCCCCCCCCCCCCCCGCTGTGCTCTTTGCTTCAGCGTGAGCTAGGAGGCAGGTTTAACCCCCCCCCCCCACCAAATTGTCAACCCTCCCCGAAATTTTTTTCTGGCTATGGCCCTGGGTGGAGGCTCCTTCTTTGGAGGCTTTGAAACAGATGCTGGATGGCCATCTGTCAGGGGTGATTTGAATGCAATATTCCTGCTTGGCAGAATGGGTGGACTGGATGGCCCAGGAGGTCTCTTCCAACTCTATGATTCTAGGATTCTATGACTGAGAGCCGTTCAGCAGTGGAACTCTCTGCCCCGGGAGTGTGGTGGAGGCTCCTTCTTTGGAAGCTTTTAAGCAGAGGCTGGATGGCCATCTGTCAGGGGTGCTTTGAATGCAATATTCCTGCTTCTTGGCAGAATGGGGGTGGACTGGAGGATGGCCCAGGAGGTCTCCTCCAACTCTAGGATTCTAGGATTCTATGATGGCCATCTGTCAGGGGTGCTTTGAATGCAATATTCCTGCTTCTTGGCAGAAGGGGGTTGGACTGGAGGATGGCCCAGGAGGTCTCTTCCCACTCTGTGATTCTATGAGGCTGGATGGCCATCTGTCAGGGGTGCTTTGAATGCAATGTTCCTGCTTCTTGGCAGAAGGGGGTTGGACTGGAGGATGGCCCAGGAGGTCTCTTCCCACTCTGTGATTCTATGAGGCTGGATGGCCATCTGTCAGGGGTGCTTTGAATGCAATATTCCTGCTTCTTGGCAGAAGGGGGTTGGACTGGAGGATGGCCCAGGAGGTCTCTTCCCACTCTGTGATTCTATGAGGCTGGATGGCCATCTGTCAGGGGTGCTTTGAATGCAATGTTCCTGCTTCTTGGCAGAAGGGGGTTGGACTGGAGGATGGCCCAGGAGGTCTCTTCCCACTCTGTGATTCTATGAGGCTGGATGGCCATCTGTCAGGGGTGCTTTGAATGCAATATTCCTGCTTCTTGGCAGAAGGGGGTTGGACTGGAGGATGGCCCAGGAGGTCTCTTCCCACTCTGTGATTCTATGAGGCTGGATGGCCATCTGTCAGGGGTGCTTTGAATGCAATGTTCCTGCTTCTTGGCAGAATGGGGTTGGACTGGAGGTGGCCCAGGAGGTCTCTTCCAACTCTTGGATTCTATGAGGCTGGATGGCCATCTGTCAGGGGTGATTTGAATGCAATATTCCTGCTTCTTGGCAGAATGGGGTTGGACTGGATGATGGCCCAGGAGGTCTCTTCCCACTCTGTGATTCTATGAGGCTGGATGGCCATCTGTCAGG